GCCCATCGATCCAGCCTGTGTGAATGAATGGCAATGGGAGGGTTGGGAAGCCCCAAATGGCAAAAAAGGCAAGAGAAAGGCTGGTAAGAATGGCATGTATTGATGACAGGGCATCAAGACCCCAGCATGTCTACATGCAGCTACTCAAGACACCCATTTCAGGAAAAATAAAAGACAGATTATGCTCAGACTAAAACAAAGACTCAAGGTTAAGAGATGATGGCAGGAACATAAAAAAATGTCATAACCTTTGATCAGATAAGGAAGGAAAGGTCTGTGAGTGAATCCTAATGACTCCCAGAAATCTTAATTGCTGTCAGCTTTTTGTGCCTGCATGCTGGACAGATTACTTGAATGCAAACATCTTGTTCTTCTCTGTCGGTATTAGAATGTGTGTGAAACTGATATTGTTTTAAAATGTATGATCTCTTTTTGTTTGTTTATAGAATTGGATTTGTTTTCATTTTAAGTACAAAAGAAGAAATTGATGGAAATGAAGATGCTGGAATAGCTCTTTGGAGAACTTTTAATTACATTGCAGAGGAATCTGACACCTCTCAAGCCTTTACCTCGATAATTAATGTTAGTTCTTTCGCAAGAAATTACTTTTTTTTTTTTTAACTTACTACTTTTCTATATAATTAGGATTTTGCTACCTTGTGACAACATGATACATTTGCATTTACTTTACATGGAAACAAAGTATTAAAAACATGTATAGCATTAATATGCTATAGAATGATTTGCAAAAATATTTTCCTCTTCCGGAAACCAACTTGTTCTTGTAATTTTACCTATCTACAGGTTTTCTTCAAAAATGTAAAAAGGTAGATGCATACCTTACAGCTTTCAGTATATTCTTGTGAAAAATGATTCTGTATTATTTGCGTTAACGTGATGTGCCTGCCTTTGTGTTCTGTATCTCTTGGAGTACAGGAATTTTAATAGCGCTTTGTCAGTCCTATAAGCTTTGAAAAACTCTTGGTTGTTCTCTAGTGTAGAAAGTGAAACAGAGTAAGATAAGTTCTTTTTTGGTCACGTTTGAGCTGTTCATGGGTGTAGAAAACATAGAAATATTCTAGGCTTGCAGCTTAATGAATGAGCCAGGTTTTCTGTGTGTGAGAATGCAGGTTTGTGTAAAGACAGGAATTTCAGAGACGAGAGAGAAGTGGAGGGAAATAAAGTGAGCAGTCTATGTGGAGACTCTGCAGGCAAAATTATATCAGAGAATATGGTATTAATACATAACATTTTTTCTTACTTTTGTTTCCTATTATTCTGTTCAGTGCCTAGAAACTAGTGTTAAACTCAGAGAGCTTAAGATGAAAGGAATTGAAGTAACTAGGAGTACCTTAAAAGAGAAATAGAAATCCACAAGTGTCAGGAGCTGACATGCATGCGTGACTATTATCCATGACCAGATCACAAAATATCAATTTACAGTGTGCTTTTTAAAATGTTGTGTTCCTCTGTTTACTTTGTTTCATATTATAAAAAGGAGAGGATTATAAATATAATTAAAAGATAACAAAAATAGAATCGATAAAATACAGGTTTGCGATATTCAGCGCTATAGAGAGAAATCTACTGGTCCTCATTTGAAAAGAAATTGATTGAATAATTTTCACTTCAAATTTGTTTCATATGTTTGATGAAAGTAATAAAATATTATGCTATGAAATAAAATAGCATTGGTAAGGAAAAATCATCACTGTAGGAAAAAGTATCTCTGAGTAATTCAGGTTTGGATTCATCCCATACAGATTCAGGTAACTACCCACGGTTAGGTAGTTTGTAGTAAGAATTTAGATTCCTTCTCTAATCAGTGGAGAGAAAAAAGTTTTCACATTCAGCTCACATAAGTGTATTTACTTTGCCACTTCAGATTTAGACTAAAGGTATAATAATAAATTAATCAGAACAGTGCTCTGATGAAAAATTGTGCATATGTGCAATGTTGATATTTACTAAAGCAATATAAAAACTGCAATATAGCAATAAAAGCAATATAAAAGTATATTGATATAAAAATTACTACAGCACTATAAAAAGATGATATTTACTTTATTGTTTATTTACTTTTATTAAATCATGTTTGAAAATTTATTGCGTTTTACTTATTTCTGTTATAATTTTTACAGATGTACGATGAAGTGAAAGATGGAAATGTTCTAACAGTAAATCATGTGAAAGGTGTTCTTAGAAGCGAATACCCCCATGCTGATGTTCAGAGTATACTAGGTGTTCATTCTGAATATGATGAAGGGAGGAAGGTATGTTGAGAGCGAAGTGGTAAGAAATATTGCAGTACGTAATTCATTGCATTTGCTAAGCTGAAAGATTGCTAAATGTTAAAGCATGTAAATACCCTATCTTTGCGTTAGATTTTTCTTCAGCCACCATTCAGGCATCAGTGGAAATGTTGAAAGTGTTTCTGCATTACTACTCTCGCTATTAAAATTTACTTTTGCCTGCTGCTTTCAGGAGCCCAACTTTTTTTCTAGTAAGCATGTCAAGGGGTCTCTCTCGCACTGCAGATACTGTTTTCCTGTCTCTTCTGGGTGAGGAGCTGAATCCTGTTTTCTAGGTGAATCATTGTTTCCTTTAATTGTGCTTTCTGGTTATAATTTCCTTTGGGAAAGACAGCTATGGATTTTGATTTAAAGGCTGTAGAGAAGACATATTTTCATCTATAATTGATTATGTAGACAATTTTCTGCTAAAATATATATAAAAATACTGTTTTCCTTCATGTGTCTTCAGCCATGCCATCTATACAATCTTGTGTTTCTGACACATGCCATCCACTTTATTTATTTCCTTTTAAAATTTGTTATATAACGTATATTATGTTCCTTTAAAAAGGTGCATCTGGGCAGCCAGAAAAAAAGGTGCTGTTTGCCTTATGCTGCTTGTTCCTCACTGAGTTGCATGGAGGCTTTGTATAGAAGGGCAGTTTGACTCTGCCCTGGAAACAGCTGGATACACTTAGGGGAGGAAAACTTCCCACAGAGAATATTAAAGGAAGAAAAATAGATGGAGACCCACCAAGAGGAAGCTCCCAGTTCGAGCAGGGACTATGAGACTGCGGTGAAGATCAGGGAGGAGACAGTGCGGTGACAGAAAGATGGACGCATAGATACTGCCGTAGAGTTTGTAGCCATCCAAAAAGTGCCACTGAAAGAAAACATGAAAGCAAAACAGAATAGGAAGGGGGAATTACTTACAATATATTTTTATTTCTATTTGTCTCACTGAATTTTCTCTGGGAAAAATTAGCCTGTTCTGCTTTCTTATCAAATAAGGCTTGGCTTCTGAACATAAAAGCCTTTTGAGGGTTTTGGGGGTGCTGTCTTTGGGGCAAAGGTTGAGGTCAATCCGCCTCAAACTGTGACTGTCTCAAGGTCCTTCTCCAATGTTATTTACTTAATTTTTTTTGCTAAGAATATTAAGCAAAATAATATTTCTCAGCAAGATGATACAGTAAAAGTTTAAAACCCCATATATAGATCTACAATTTTTTTTGTCATTCTATTTGAGGAATGAGTCCCATGCGTCCTGTTTGGTTTCCAAACATTTCCTGTTTTGTCCCTGCTACTCATGAGAAGGTGTGACAGTGAGTGGTGCTTGGAGATTAGAGTTCATTGTCTCTTTTTATTCGTTTCATTTTTTGCTACAGTCAGCCACAGTCTATTTAATCCTGTGATATTTCTGATATGATCAGGCAGGAGCAAGCTTTTATAAAAAGACTGGCCTGGGTCCTTTGCCTCAAGTTCTGTTTAATGGCGTGCCTTTTAACAGAGAAGAGATGGATGCTGCAGAGTTAGAGACAGTTATTCTTCAGAGGATTGTTGATGCCACTGGATTCTTCCAGAGGGCAGTGTTCATGGTATGTTTAACATTTCTGAATGAACGCAAGATGAAATATTTGGCAGTGGATTGTTTGAGTCATGTTTATATATTAAATTTTTTATAATGAGATGTCTTGAAATTAATAATATGACAACTGAAATTACATTGTTAAATTAATTTGCAGTCATGGTTTTGAAACAGTGTATTTAGATTATACAAGATTGAAGTATCAACTAAGCATATAATAATCATATGGAATTTTTCAACCAGAAACTGAGAATGTGCTGATTGTTGTTCAATGAACAGTTGTTCATTGAAAAATGTGTATCTGATATTTTGAAATACTATCTGTGATATTTATACATTTTTGACTTGACATTGTCCATAACTTGGTGTATATAGAAGCTTTAAGCTTAGTTGAAAGATTGTACCAATACTTGGTCTTTGTTTGTCTTGAAACTATAAAAGTGCAAGTTTAATTTTTTTCTCTTACTACAGGGTTTGTTAAATGATCATATAAATGCAGTGGATTTTCTTATGGATCAGCACAATGTAGTCTCCCGTATAAACCCCACTATTCTTGGAGCAGAAAGAAGATACATACATTTCAGATCCACATCTGGTAACTACTTTTCTCGGATTGGCTGTTGTTATGATTTTCCTTTGTTTAACTCTAACTCGTTGTGTTTTACATTTTGCAGTTCCATTTGATGTGGAAGACTTCTCTACTTTCTCCTTTTTGGACTCACAAGATAAAAGTGCTGTAATTTCAGACAACATGAAGTATTTAACAAAAAAGGGTATATTAATTTTTCAAGGGTTTTATAAATATATATATATATGGGTATTACAAATTGTTGAAATTTGCCAGTAGAATATCCCAAGTAAGTATCCCAAGGATCCCATGTAAATAAGTAAATTTCCCAATATCCCAGTATCTTCTTTCAGGAGCCAGATCATATCCTAATATTATTATAAATAATAAATAACAGAATAGTTATTTTAAATTTTGTAGTTTTAAAATGGGATGGATGTCATGGCTGGGTGTTTTTTTTTTTTTCGATTACAGACATGAAGTTAAAAAGTTTTGTAGGACTTGCAGCTTCGAAAACAGACTCAGTTTTCATACTGACATAGTTTTACTTGAGAATATTAAGAAGAGTATATTCAGTTTTCAAGTGACTCTTATTTGCAGCATTATCAAGTCAAGACTTTATTGTCTTTGTAATATCTATATCAAAATTAGGCATTTCTACAGTTTAAGAGATAATTGATTTTATTTCTTACTTGTTAGCATTCAGTATCCTTATTATTTTTCCTCTAGTTGATTGTTTAATTTTGGTATCTGAAGCTTTGTCTTTCTACAGAAAAGAAAAAAATACATATATTCTGATGGATTATCACTCATTTATACATTTTTATCTTACTAAAACTCACGCTTTTTTGTACATTTACAATATTTTTTTATGTAAAATATTCTTATTGCATATGCGAGTACTTTCCCTCTGAGTTAAAAGAAATTATAATTACATCAGTGGGGGCATAATACTGCATGGAATTTTGCATTAGTCTGTACCTTGTTAACATCTAGGAGTAGATAGTTAAAAACTGCTCATTTATGTCAGTCCAACAACAGGGATATCCCAGCTAGTTGTCAAATGATGACTGGCTTTCAATCTATAGGCTCATTTCTAAGATTCAGATCTCTTGTGTAAAACCCATAACCTTTAAGCTGGAATCTACATTTCAAATGTCTGTCCCCAGTGCGTTTCTCTAGACCCCAACAACGCTTAATCATAATCTCTTCCTAGAATCTCACCAGAACCTTGTAAAATTCCCGTCTATACGTATTACCTTTTAGGGGATATATGATAGACCTGAGTAGACTGATACTCTTCTACAGATAATTTTGCAGAATTTTCATATACCATTGCCCTTTTATGAAGAATAAAGAACAGGAGGCTATAGACCAGGAAAAGGGGAAATTTTCTGCGTATACACCTATACTGTAGTTTACTTTCTTTGGGCTGTATTTGGTATATTCCTGTTTGTGTCCAGAAACGGTAAGTTTTGTCCTGCCTTTGGTTGAAGGACTCTCCCTTCGCTGCTGGGGAAAGTGAATGGCCTAACTCAGGCATTCTTGTAACTACTTAATTCTTTTCATTTCTGGCTGTATGACCAGCCTCCATCAATGTTCACAAGAAACCTCTGGTAAAGCAGGTCTTGTTAATTGGAGCTACCTTATTATTTAGGGCCATCTTGTTTCAGTGGTACAATGATAGATTGGCTGTTTTAGTGACTCTCTCATATTAACATGATAAAGTACCTCCTAAGAATTTTATTTCAATTCAGAGGGCAAACGATTCTCATGTGGCAAAGATTAGTCTTACAGTCAACAATCAAACGTACACATAAAATTCAAAATCTCAAATAGAATTAATTCATTATTCATTACTCATGAGCAGATTCTCCAGAATGTAAATGAGGATTATCTTTAATTTTCAGATGAAGATGCATTATATGCTGTTACTATGTGGATTATTGCCGATTTCGATAAACCAGCTGGGAGACGACTGCTTTCAAATGCCTTGAAACACCTGGTGAGTTTCTAGCAGTTTTTATTAAAATAATTAATATGAATATGTTCTTAACAACACTGTGCACATTCAAAAATTATACTCTTAAATAAAGGTGTAACAATATTTTTTTTTTTTTGTGGGTCAGGTGCAGACTTACAAGACTGTGCTTTTATTTTGCTCTACTCTTCTGCAGCACCGGCATCTTACAGGCCTGTAAATGATCATTTGATTCATGGACTCCTGACGCAGGAGACAAACTATGACACTATGTGTTAAAAGGGTGAATTTCTTCCCAGTTACAGACCTTCTCCCATGAGGTAACCTAGCATGTTACCTGGGCCAGGCAAATTAGGATAATGCCTGTTTGTGTGAACCATTATGTAGTGTTCTCCAGTATGGCATAACTGTGGCCATGAAGTGGCCATTTTCCCATGTACTGTTTGTATTCTTCTGAGACAGATTACATTTTTTTTGTATTTCAGTATGCTAGGAGGATCATCTACATTTATGAGTTTGCTTATTTTTAAGTTCTTCAGTATTAATAATAGAATTTAAAGTATACAAGTAAATGTCACGTGAATATAAGTGACAAAAAAACTCAGTTCTGGGGAGTTTAGAAAAATAATGAGGCTGAAATTGGGAAAACATTTAGATTTAATAATCAGGAATGAAATAGGAACCATCCCAAGGGAATTATAAAATCGGTATGTTACAGAGAGCATGTGATACCAAATACGTCCTAAAAAGAGGCTTAAAAAACTGCAAGGAGGGATATGCACTACAAGTCCTTGTTACAGGAGAAATGTTTCATTTATCTGACTGCTAGAACTGTGACCCAAGCTTGGCAGATATATTCCTGC